CTCTCCCTACTGCGGATCCCACCGCTGCACGGTATACAAGCCGATGATATTTATTCTTTAATATGAGGTAAAGCTGCGGGTTAAAAGCTCAGGACTATAAAAAATGTTGATTACTGCTTTCAAGACTTCAGATGTTAAAAAAGAACTAATACTATTTTTGCAATGTTTTATGAATAAATTTGGGATAATTTAAAAGTTAAAGTGAGATTATAAAATCTTTGAATCTTAAAAAAAGAAAAAAATGGGGGGAAGATATAGCTCAGTGGTAGAGTGCATGCTTAGTGTACATGAGGTCCCAGATTCAATCCCCAGTGCCTCCATTTAAATAAATAAATAAATAAACCTAATTATCCCCTCCTCCAACATTAAAAATAACTAAAAAGAAAAAAAAATGTTTGAACCTTTTGCAAATGAACCTTGGAGGCCCCTGATCCTCTGGGGACCATTGGCGTTGGTCTCCCTGCGTGCTGGGGTCGCGGCTCCAGCAGGCTGTGTCTTCCGGCCTCACCGTCTTTACCTGGCTGTGACATAACTTTTGAAATGGTTAAGCTGCCCTTTGCTGGTCCACCATCCAGGCAGACCTGGGAGTAATATTTTAAAATGCAAAGATATTAGTTTCCTGCTTAAAAGCTATTGATGGTTCCCCCCATGATAAATTCCAGCCCCTCAGCCTGGGCCACAATCCTCTTCTGACCTTCAGATCCTTTGGCCCTGGGCTGGCGGACTCCTCCAACTGTGCTCTCGTGGGACGCACTCAGGCAGGTTCACATCTCCAAGCCTTTCTCAGCCTCTTCTCTCCGCTTGGCATGCACTGTCTCCCTTCTTCTCTTAGCCTGCTCTTCAAGACTCTGCGTAGCCGTCACCTCCCCCAGAAAGTCTTCCCTTACTTTCTGATGCCCCCTTGGCTTTGGCTCGGCCCCTGCAGGGGGGCCTCTTAGTGCCTGGTGCACTCTCCCTCACCGGCCCTGATGCAGTCAGTCCCTGCTTTTACATCTAGTTCCTTAAGCACTGAGAATGCCCCGCCAGCGCGGAGATTATGCCCTGCTCTTTATGTACTCAGTGGTCCACTTGGGCTGGGCGTGGAGCCCATCTCAACACGTATGTGTTGAACACCAATGGAACGAGGAGGAATAAGCCTTTGAACTATCTGGCAAATCTGTTTTCAGCAAAAGATGATAGAAGCTTGGATAGATCTAGATAAATGTACATACATCACGTCTTTAAGGGATTCTCAAATTTTGCAGTAGCTTCTGAAAGGGGCTCTTTTATGTCTATAAACACAGTGGCCAGGCCTGTCAAAGGCAAGGCGTGAAGGAAAACGAAGGTGGGAGTAATGACACCGGTTCAAACTGTATTCTTTTCACGAGTTCGTCCTTCTGAGGAAATGCAGCCTGTCATCAGTGTTTCATGTTGTCTCATTGTAATTTTATTGGACATAATGACGTCACAACCAATAAATCTGCCACACAGTGATAAAAGATCACTCAGAAAAATTTGAGTGATATTCGTAAGTGCAGGAAAAGTGTTCCCCTTTTGGTGTGACTAGTTTTCCTATGGAAAAAGTAAGTGGTGATAAGGGAGGAAAATGCCTTAAGAGGATGTTGCCAAATGGGTAAAACAGAGCTGCTCTTTATTTGTGTTCTGTAAACATGGTCATTCCTGGGGGATGAGCAGGAAATGCTTTTACCTGGCACCCCATAAAATTCTGCATTCAGGCTTTTGTCATTCTTGATGGCTTTGCACAGCCGTGCGATCTTAGCAGGCTTATCTTTGGGTTATTCGTCTGCAGCAAAAGTGAGGAGTCCCAGAGCCGATTCCTGGCTGGAAGCTGCCCCTTTGTCACCTCCCTGGGGACGGGACCTGGGCAAAATGCTCCCCTCCTTTGCGTTCACGTTCAATCCAACAGAACGTAAGACCCTGAGATTATGACTTCATGATAATTTCATTGAATGCAATGACGTCACAGCCATCAAAACTGCCATGTAGTGACCAAATATCACAGCAAAAATGTGATCTTCATAAATGTATAAATTGGCATTTCATCCCAACAGAATGTAAGTTCTAGGGGCCCGTGAATTCTGTCTGCTTTGTCAAAATCAGTGTTATCTTAAGCACTGAAGATGGTGCTGGGTATAATGTAGGTGATCACAAAATATTTGTTGAAATATTTTTTGAGGGAACCCCTGTGGGGCTACAATTTCTCCCTAACAAGACATAGATCTGCGCAGCTTGAATTTCCAGGGCATTTAAAATGTCAGCTGTGTTCCCAAGTTTTAAGCTAAAGGAATATTGGGCATTGGTCAGGCGGGGGGTGAGTATGAAGCATGGGTCTCTTTTTGGTCCCTGAAATCACTGCCAGGATCCTCTTCATCTCTTTCTGTAAGAAAATACTGGTGGATACTCTGTAACAGTTTCAGAAATTATACGTGTGTACCTGATGAAAATGTTTTGGGGAAATACTTCTTTTTTTAATACTCTTTCCCATCTCACGTGGGCTTCAGTCCACAATACACCCCTTTCTTTTTCCTTAGCCGAGTGTAGCTATGCCTCCTCCAAGACGATTTTCTGCTTTCTCTTGAAAGTGGAGTGTGACTGACCCCCCCCCCCCAACCTCCCGCTCCCCGCCGGGCCTCAGGCCAGGTTGTAGCTGTGCAGGTGAGGGTGTGTTCCCCCTTCTGATGCTGCAGGCTGGGGAGCAGCAGGTCTGAGACTTCTAAGAAGCCTTTCCCATTTGTTCTTTTTGGTTGAGAGATGGAGTTCACAGCGGGGGGCTCCAGGCCTCCTTCCCAGTTTTTCTTAAGACCAAGTTTGGACCCAGCCAAGGGCGAGGAGGCAGTGTTGGGGTTCTTCGGAAGCTGTGGCACCCTGGTTGAGATAAAAACACTCTACTCCTTCGTTAATCCACGGCAGGGTGCTCACTGGAGAAGGTGCAGTGAGCCTGCATCGCGGTTCTGGATATCAGTAATCCCTTTTAATCCACGTATTGAAATCTTATTTTTGGATTGTTCTAGGAAATAGGATGAAAGGTAATACTCAAGGAGGGGACTGCAGTTTAGAAATCGAGGCTTAAAGAACTCTCCATTTTCTGGTTCGTGCTCGTAGGTTCTGAAAGCTGGGGTTCCCTGGCCTTGTCTCACTGCGGGACGTGGGTCACAAGACTCGAGTTCCAGACTCCTGGACAGGCTAGCTGGGGGACTGGGGCGAGTCACACCCCGCTGCTCTCGGCCGTGTTTTCTCCCCTGTCTATGGGGATGATGACCCTGACCCCTCAGAGTCATGACGAAACATAAAATAAGACCAAGGACGAGGAAGACATTAAAAGCGTGCGTGACACCGTGGCATCTTAAAGGCCAGGCACCTCGCTTCCCTTCCCCCCGCATGTGAGGTCTGAGCCCTTGAAAAATTAAAATAGCTTTTGCCACTGATGCTGTTTTTCTTCATCAGTTGAGCTGGAGGAAGGCTTGGCACTGAATCTGGGGGGACCTTTTAGCAAGGACTCGATGCTGTTCATGTGGGCCAGGGCCTCACTGCTCCGTCTCTTTCTGTCTTTGTTTCCTTTTGCTCTTCTTCCTAATCGATGCCGTCCAGCTGCGGGATAGGAACCTTGTTGTAAACAGCCTTGAATTCTTTTGGGGACGAGTTATCAGATGAAGAACCAACCAAATAAGTAAATATGGCTGCGCCAACCCCATTTCTTCTCCTTTGAGTTTAGAGTAAGGATGGACCACAAGGCTGCTCCTCCAGGCGGCACTCACTTTGGCCTCCGTTGCTGCCTTCACGACAACAGCCTGAGTGTGAACACCCGCCTCTCTCAAAGAGATCCCTTCGATGGGGTGTGAATTTGGTCAGCTCCTTGACTGACAAGAACCAATAATCCTTAGTTGATACCATTTAGAATGAACAGTTTTTATAAGAATAATGCAAATAACCTTTGTGTTGAAATTGGCCACGTGTAATGAACTTTATTTCACATTTCTCTGTACGACATCAGGGTGTGTTTAACTAATGAAAGTGTTCTGTTGCTTCAAGATAGGTTCTTTTTCTAAATTCTTTTTTTTGGGGGGAGGAGGTAATTAGGTTCATTTATTTATTTATTATTGCTAATTATTATTATAATTAATTATACTATTTATTTAATAATTATTAATATATTTAAAAATTAAATATTATAACTAATAAGCTTTATTTATTTATTTATTATTGCTATTTTTTTTTAATGGAGATACTGGGGACCTTGTGCATGCTAAGCGTGTGCTCTACCACGGAGCTCTACACCCTCTCTCTGACAGGCTCTTAAACAGATGCATTTTTCACCATCCTTTAGTGTGCCCTTGTTTGGGACACAGGTTACATCCAGAAACGAGACTTAGAGACAAGGCCGCATGGAACTAAATTTAATATTTTAGGTATTGTGAATATTTTATGACAATTTTGTTTAGTCAATATTTGTGATACGGGATGATGGATTGCTTTTTTAAAAATGTGTTTTCATTGTTGAAAAATCAAGGTGGCTTACTAATAATTCTCTTCATGGATAGTTTTGTCAGCGGATACCTGCTCTCTAGATTGAGAGCCTGCTTGTATAAATGGATTATTTGTAAGCAAGGTTTAACTTGTTGACAGGCCTCGAGCACATTAGTGGTCAATCTGAGACCCAGAGCACCGTCTTGTCCCCCGGTCAATGCTGAGTGTAGCTCTCAGGGCGTGTGGCTACTGCACTGACCTGTTGACTTTCTCTACACCTGTGCCTAAAATGCTCACGAGGTTAACATATATGTTTCATCACCGAGTGTTGCAGAGTCCCAGAACTTTTGCTGTATCCAGTTGACAGGATAGATTCGCCGCCCAGTTGTGACACCCTTCTCATTTTGGCTTATGGATTTAACCTGTAGAGCACATGAGACCTTGTGGCTGAAAAAAAACAGTTCTCAATGTTTATAACGCTGTGCTGGTGAATGTGTTTGAGATGTGATTAAACAGACTTTGTTTTCTTTTTTCAGTTCTGTCAGGAGGCCCATTACCTCAAGGGCATGAGTTTGAGCTGTATGAAGTTAGATTTCATTGGGGAAGAGAAAACCAGCGTGGCTCGGAGCACACAGTTAATTTCAAAGCTTTCCCCATGGAGGTAAGAGGAACAAATCAGTTTGCAAAACTCTTGTTGTTCATGCGAAGTATTCAGCGATTTCCAGAAAACGATTTACTTTGGAAGTAGATGTATGGCTCTTGAATTTCATCGACTTACATTAAAATTAAAAAGTGCTCAATGACCTGTAAGTTTGGGGCAGCAACTGAAGCTTCCCATCAGCCTTAGTGGGGCTGGAGAACGCACATGGGCTGTTGGCCACAAAGGTGCTTTACGTTTAATATTAAATTTCATTCTGGTATTATTACTGTTGTCAAAATTCTGCAGTCTGCAAATTCAGTAGGTCACTTTTGTAGATGCTACGAACAGAGGATAAGCTGAAAACAAATAACTTTTGGAGAAACTTCATGAGTAACTAAAAGAACTAGTTTAGCTCTGATTAAAATTGGTAAGTTGGTTTTATTCACACTGAGCAATGAGAGAGAGAGAGAGACGGAGACAGAGATTTTGAGTGATTCTTTCATCTGAAGAATTCCCTCCCCCACTTGTCTTCTTAGTCAACTCCTGCTCTTTCTTCAGTATCTGGTTGAAGTATCATTTCTCCCATGGGACTTACTTCTGAGTTCCTTCCATAAGCAGAACTAATTTCCCCTCTTCTGTGCTCCCAGCACACTTGATAGATTGCAGTGAAATTGACTGTGTAGATTGTAACCTTTAGTGTTTAAAGAGTCGTCCTCTCTGACTGTGGGCTCCTGGTATGGATGGAAGTGTTGGTGACCCCCCTTCCCCTAAATTCATATGTTGAAACTCCCCCATGTGAGGGTATTAGGAGGTGGAGCCTTTGGGAGTGATGAGGATTCGATGAGCTCATGAGGGTGGGGCCCTCATGGATGGAATTAGTGCCCTCGTGAGGCTCCAGAGAGGGCTCGCGTCTCCCTGCTCTCTGCTGTGAGGACACAAGAAGACCGCTGCTTGAAAGCCAGGAGTGGGCCCTCACCAGACACCAGAGCTGCCGGCACCTCGATCTTGGACTTCCCAGCCTCCAGAACTGGGAGAGAGAAACTCTGTTGTTTAAACCACTCAGTCTGGTAATTTGTTCTGGCAGCCTGAGCTGATGGGACAGCACCTGGAGCAAACATCTCCCTCTCCTCATGACACCCAGTGTTTAGTCCGGTGCTGGGTGCATCAGGGACAACCCGTGTTGGTGAAATTGAGAGGATGTCTATGTTGGTCCAGGCCTTGTTCATATTTCTTTCTATGAGAACCTGCATTTCTCTCCAGGAAACAGTCCATCAGAGGCAGGTAACAGTATATTTTGGGGGCTGCCGAAATGCCAGTCTTCCTTCTCCATCATTTCCAACTACACAGACTTGAGTATGGAATTGTTCAGGGCCAGATACCACATCCAGAGCTGCATCATTGCCTGGAACTCACGACTCTATAATTTTTATAAATGATGCACGTACTCGACAGAATGACATTGGAGAAAGTATGTCTCAATGTTACTTTAAAACTAATTAACAGATTTCTTTTGAAAGCTCAAAATATCCCTGCATGAAAAAAACCCTCAAGTCTGAAAAGTGAAGTATGGATTGTTTTAAGGATGGAGGGGAATAAAAACACAATTGCAGTTCGTGAAAGAGTGTATGAGGTCTGTGATGGTGAGACAGGAAGAGAAGGCAGCTTCCTTAAGGTCTTGATGGGCAAGGCTGGGCCTTCAGATGTTACCTTCAAGGGGCTCTTTTCTCAGTGCCTGCTGACATCCACTCACTCGCTGTGCCTGCAAACAGTTCTGCCCTGTCTCTGTGTCAGCTCCGGCTGCTGCCCTGTTCCCACCCAACGTGAGAAGGAAGAGTTCACAGCAGAACATATCGAAGAGGAGAGAGGACACGAAACAATCCAAAATGACGGAACTGCTGGAGGGCTGGAGGGCGGAGGAGGGGCAGGAGGGCCCCGACTGTCGGAGCCTCAGCCCCGCCCTCTGATTTGAGAAGCTGCTTCCTCTCAACCGATCCTCAGAGACATGCTCTGGTCATCAGACATTTAAGGAGGCGTGGGAGT